GCCAGACCGCCCCCTGGTGGCGCAGGCAGGAATTTGGCACAGCTGAGCTTTGCCAGAAGGGCCCTGGTGGCTTGGTGGGTTAGACCTGGGGCTGCTAACTAACTGCAGAGTGGGAAGTTCGAAACCATCTGCCGCTCCAAGGGAGACAGATGGGGCTTTCTGCTCCCGTAGAAAGCGACAGCCTGGGAAACTCACAGGGCCAGTTCGGCCCTGTCTTACAGGGTCATGCTGAGTCCAAATTGTCTCCATCACAGCGAGTTTGGTTTGGGGGGCTTTCGACAGAGTCCCTGGGACCAAAATGAAAGCTGGACCAGGAAGGAGAGACGTGCACGGCTCCTGATTTTCTGCTCACTTCGAGGAGTTAGGGCAGAGATGCCTTTGCCAAACACTGTTTTCCAGGTCTGTAGGAGAAGTCTTCTGATGAGCCTCAGGGTTTAATGCATAGGTCATCCCAGTAGTTTATCTTCTATGGCGTGTGCGTTTCCAGCTGTCTGATAAGCTACTGATGCTGTGCAGGAGAGCCCCCACACACACCCCGCCCCCACCCCCCGTTTTCCTTTGATCTTTATTGTATTACATTTTTAGGTCCTTGGTCTAACTTTCGGATAGGTTTTGCAACAGGTGTGGACCTTGTTTCATTCGCCTGCAAATGGGCACCCAGTTTTGCCAGTGCCATTTGTTAAAGAGACTGTGGCTGTCTGTTGGCGGAGTCTGACTCCTGGTCAAAGATCAGCTGTCTGAAGGTGGGTGGACTTGCTTCTGGGTGCTCAGATCCGTTCCCTTGCGTGCTTCGTCCGTCGCTGTATCAGTACCGAATCGTTTGACTCCTCTGTACTTGGTTTCGAGGCTCCGACTTTGTTGTTCTTCAGTAGTTGTGCTTGGCTTATTGGGAAGAGAGGGGTCTTTTTCCTTCCCATATAAACTATTTAAAGAGTGTTGATGGGACCTGGGTTAGGATTGCATTATATCTGTAGACAGTTTTGGAAGGTGTTGTTGTTTCCACAATGTTATGTCCTCCTGTCCATGAGCATGGTCTATTTGTCCACTTAGGCAGGTCTCTTTGGTTTCTTAAAGGTTTTTAAAATTGTTTTCTGTCTGTGGTGGAGCCATGGTTAATGGTACTATTTTCCTGATTTCTTTTTCAGAGTGAGATAGGATCTGATTGTGTGGAAGAATCCAATTGATTCTTGTATGTTGATCTTGTGTCCGATATCTGGCTGAACCTTAGCTGAGTGCAGGGTTCTCCTTGCTGATCCTCTGAGACCCTGTGTGTGGATCTACACTCTGAACACTGGGGTTTGAACGCCTGTATCCCTTCCCTTGCCTTATTGCTATAACACCTCCAGGAGGAGTGGCTGGTGGTTTTGAACCCCCGACCTTGTAGTGAGCAGCCCAACAGGTAACTGCTGCACCAGCCCGTTCCTAACTCTTTGGTCTTCAGCAGCATTGCCTCTGTAAGTTGAGTGCTCAGCTATCAGCCAAAAGTTTTGCCAGGAGCCTCAGAAGAATGACCTGGCAGTGCTGCTTCTGAAGGTCACATCCCTTAACCCCCCGCCCCCCCAGAGAGCACACGGTGCTGCTGGGATTGGGAACCCGCTCAAAGGAGACGCACAACTCTGGAAGCTCCACACCCATGACCCGTCGAGTCCGCGCTGCCCCACAGCAACCCCATAGGACAGGGTAGAAGTGCTCCGTGGGTTTCCAAGACCCTGACTCTTTCTTACAGGAGTAGAAAGCCTCTGCTTCCTCCTGAGCAGCGCCAGGTGGTTTTGAACTACTGACCTTGTGGTTAGCAATCCGAAGCATAACCCACGGTGCCAGCAGCACTCCTGCGCTGCAGCGCATTCATTACCGCCTCGAGGACAGTGGGGGTGGATGGAAACACGTCGTCTTTCCCGGTACTCCACAGTTCAATCCCACTAGTGGCTCTTTGGGAGAGAGGTGGAAGTCTGCTTGCATAAGGGTTTACAGCCTTGGAAACCCACTGGCAGGCCCACTCTGTCCCATAGGATCACTGTCATGGATCCAGTTGTGGTCCTTCCACCCTCCCAAAAGGGGGTGTCCACTTGGCTATTTGGGCCTCAGTAGTTTGGCAGCTATGTAGTGATGTGATCATCTCCCAGGGTGTGATCCTATGTGATCAGTCAATCAGTTGTCAGGGGACTGATCAGGTGGGTCCTAAGACCCACCTGGGGCGTGGCCCATGTCACCTTTTATCTGCCAAGCCATCAAAGGACAGAGAGGTGAGCAGAGGAGGAGGAGCCTCAGAACCGCTCAAAGAGAAGAGATGTGGACTCAGGGACCCTGTGCCGAGAACCTCTTGGCCCGGGGGTGGGGATCGATGCCCAGACACCTGGAGCTCTCTGAAGAATGCCGGGCGGGCCCACAGATGGTGAACAGAGAGAGGGACTGTCCCCCAGAGCGACAGAGAAAGTCTTCCCCCAGGACTAGAACCCAGAACTCTGACTTGTAGCCCCCCCCCCAACCATCGAGAGACTGTGTTTCTGTTTGTAGAGCCCACACTTGGGGTGGTTCTGCGGCGGCTGTGCTTTGGAAAGGGCTTGCTGCACCCAACAAGAGTCAGAGCTCCACGACCCGGCACTTCAGAGGTGCCACGCTGTGTAGGGGGCACAAAGCAAGGCAAAACTACTCTGCCTGACTCCCTAGGCCTCCCTCCTCCCACTCCATGTCTCTCCTGCCCTTGGGGGACACATCCTGCACCCCTGGAGGCCACGGGGCAGACACGCTGCCCTCCTGGCGTGGAGCCGGAGGGGATGCGTTCGAGGATGTCGTTCTCAGGGTCAGGTGGGGTTTGCTGTTTGTTCCCTGCTCTTTAAGTTGTCGTCCACCAACGTGTCCAAGACCGGAGTGAGGACCAGATGAAGGGCGGGTTGACATCCACGCCCCACCCCACCCCAGCCCCCAGGGCCTTGCCACCGTCAATGAACTAAACACACAAGGGCCCCTGGACCGGGGCTCGGCCAGTGTTTCTGATTAGGAGCCACATAGTAAATCCTTTCGGCTTCTTGAGCCAGATGGGCTGGGCTGCGGCTTCTCAGCTGTCGTCCTCTCCGGAAGCAGCCCCAGGGGTGCAGCACTGGGAAGGCAGCTATGTCCCAGAAAAGCTTTCCCGGAGGGTGACGAGCCCTGCTCAGGAGAGGCGGCACAGTGGCTGCCGTGCTGGGCTCCGGCATGGCAGTGACTTAGGGCTGGTGCAGGCCTGCGGTCGCCCTGAGTCAGGACGGGCCGGACAGCCCCTGACAACAACATGGACACCAAGGTGTGAATGGCATCGGCTAGTCACGTCACAGGACATTCTTCGGCTTGCTTGTCCCCTCGGCCACACAGGAATGACCTTTGGGATCTGATTTCCTTCCCGGCTTAAGAGGATTAGCATCCCCTCTGTCACAAAAGTGCGTCTGCTGCCGAGCCATCAGGACGCGCGTCTAGGGGTGATGAAGGAGTCCGGGGGAACGGAGGGCTCAGCGCTGACCTGTTGCTGGAAACCCACAGCGACAGTTCCACTCTGGGCTTCAGAGGGGCTGGGAGTCAGAGTGGATTCACTGGCAGGGGGGTTTGTGCTTCAGAGGTCTAATGGCGCAACAGTTCCTGCCCACCCAGGTGCTAACCAGCAGGGCTGCAGTTCAAGCCCACCAGCTGCAGTACCACAACAGACAGACAGCATTCCACTCTCACCCCGTATTCAAGGTTTCTGAATCTTCACCGGGGCAGGCGGCCTCATCTCTCTCCCAAGGAGTGGCTGGTGGGTTTGAACCACCAGCCTTGAGGTCACTGACCGCACCGGGCTGCCACGGCTCTGGTTACAAGATGACAACCCTACGGGACAGTTCTACTGGGTCCCACAGGGTCACTGTGAATCAGACTCCCGTATCCCTCGCTAGTCTCTCCTCCTGGGAAAATTCTGGAAAGTGCAGAAAATAACCCAGGCAAATGTCTTGGGACCATGAAGGCCTCTGGCCCTTCTCTGCAATGAGCAAACTCGAGGCAGAGGAAAGGACCCAGGCTGTTAGGCATCTCCATGGAAACCCCACCCAGCGCCCCTGCACCCCCAGCATCACCTGGCCCTCCCTCGGCAGCCTTGGGGTGCACTTGCTGCACGCATTCCGCTCCTTGAGCTGAGAAGTGGGAAATAACCCAAGGGGAGAAGTTTGAAACACAAGTCCTCACTTGGTTCCCACCGACACGGGAACCGCTGCTAAAATTGTGCTGTGGGCAGTCTGGCACGACCTCGCCTCCCGGGAAAGGTCGTCGGTTCAGAACACATGGTGGTGACGTGGCTGCTGACTCTTAACGGCAGAGATCACAGAAGGACAAGTTCCAGAGTCTGCGGGCAAGAACCTCCTGACCTCATGAGCGGGACAGCCAGCCCCAGGGGTGCCGCCGCTGCCTTGAGATACCCTTCCGTGGGGCTGGGTGGCGGGGTCTTCTTCTGAAGGACCCTGTGCCCAAGAGGGTGCCCGGCGGTGCGGGTGGCTTAGGCTCCGCTCTAACACCCGGTCCGACACCCTGTGGAAAAGGCCTGGTGGTATTCCGATCCGATGGGAGCAGGGTGCCTGTTGTTACTGCCTGGAGTTCCCGGGTGAGGCAAGCCCGTAGGAACCCACCCCAGTGCCCATAGAGAGCCCCCAGCATGCACAGAGACCCGCCTCAGTGAGTCAGAGCATCCAGCAAGACGTCCTGGTGCTGTCTGCTCGTCTGCTGCGAGAGAGACGAGGTTGTAAGTCTTGCCTTCCGCCAGGACATGAAGGTGCAGATCAGGCTCCCAGGGAGCAGCAGCCTCTCTAGCTACGGCGGCGGGGAGCCCCTGATGCCTTTACTTAACCTAAGGAGGGTCGGGAGTAGAGTCCCACCTTCTACCCGAAGATCTGGGTTCAAGCCAGCCAGTGCGCCTCACGACACCGCGCCCATGTGTCATGAGAGATTTGCATGTTACATGATGGGTGCCCGCCCGCTCAGCAGGCTCCTCCCCTCCCCCGCAGGTGGTGCTGAGCCCCCTCATCGCCATCGCCCTGAAGATCTCCCAGATCCACGAGAGGACCGGCCGCCGGGGGCCCACAGTCATCACCTGAACGGCAGAGGCCGCTGCTCTGGGCTAGCTGGGCCGAGCGCCCCTCCCACAGTGCCTTCTCCTACGCGGCTGTGCCTTTGGGAAATTCAAAAGATGTTTTGCTGTTGGGGGGTGGGGGTGGGAAGGGGGGTCAGACACAGGAATTGCCTTGTTTGGGCCCAGTCAGCTCTTCTGCAAGCAGCTGGGTCATCTGGGATCTGAGATTGTACTTGGCCACTCCGAGGGGCTCTGCCTGGCCCAGAGGGTCTGTGGGTGGGGACTCTCCCTCCTGCTGACTCCTCAGTGCCCCTTGTGGGAGAAGGTTCTGGAACTGAGAGGAAAGATGGAGCACAGTCCCTGAATTAAACCCACCCAAAGTTACAGGTGCCCCTGGGCAGCCACCCCCCATGACACTCCCCAGCTTAGAGAAGCGATTCATTTTTATATCCTTGGTCAGATTCTACAAGTGGGGAAAGTGCTAGAACTCCCTGCCCCCTGCCTCTGGATGGTCCCCAGCTCCCAACCTCTGCTCCCTGATACCTGCCCTCACGTGCCTCCTATCACTCCTGGTGCACTTGCTACAAAGCTGATCCAAGGTGGGGTCCTGAGTTGGTGGGTGCTGGTCATTCCTCCCTGAAGCTGGCAGCCCCCCTTCAAATCCAGTCTGGCCTCCTGCAGGCCAGCAAGTGACTTCCCAGCCAGCCTCCGCATATGCGTGGTCTCTGTCCCGGCTCCCACCACCACACACCCCCACACCCCACACCTCCCAGGGGCAGCCTGGGCTGACTCGCTCACGGGTTTGAATGAGTTGCTCCTGGAAAGACAGAGAGACCACATACGTGTTCTGAATTTCCAGGCAGGGGAACCTACTGAGTGCACTAGAGGGGCCCCGGGGGCAGCAGGCAGGGGCGGGTACTGAAACTCTCTGTGGCTCCCAATGGATAGATTGGCGGTTCAGACTCACCCAGGGATGCCTCGGGAGAAAGGCCTGGCCCTCTACTCCCCCCAGAGTCAGTCATTGATAACCCCTGGATAGCAGGCCTCCCCACCCCTCGTGGGGGCACCACGTGTCAGCTCAACGTGCAGGCAGGGGCTGTCCACGCACGTGCCTGGACACAGCTCTGGTCATGTTGGTCACGGCGATGGCTGGAGAGAGTGGA